TATTCTGAAATGTTGGCTTTATTGTACTTATCACGTAAGGCAAGTGCTATTTTTAAAAGATGTCTCGTAATTATTTATTAGTTCTTTCGGTTTCTGTGGAGGCATCAGTCACAGACCGCTGGATCTGTGCAAGTGCAGAACGAAGTCTTTCCACAAAAGAGCTGCTATTCTCAGCAAAGTTAATCCTGTTCTTTATTCAGTATGATTTTATTCACACATTCCTATGCCTACTTAAAAATGTCATCTTGGATTTTGGAAAGGTATGAAATATACATACAAGCACAGCTGATGTCTGCAGTAAATACTTTCATATATTTAGAAAATACTTCTTATGTAGTCCATTTTCTGGAGTACAACATGAGTCAGTGATGATCTAAGGTTCCCAAACTTAGAGGCTTAGATACTGGAAAAAAAGAAAAGAAAAAAAGAAGATAGAAAAAAAAAAAAAACAAAAACAAAAACCAACACACCCAACAAAAGGGACAATTTAAGCTGATAATAAAGCACTTTGAAGGTAGCTTTTAATGTGCTATGGTTTTATGCAGCTGATGTTCTGAGCATTTTTCTTATTAAGACATAAAAATTCACTTCTAGAAGTCTTCTTGTCCAGATACCTACTACCAGCAACCCCAAAATGGGGTTTTCCATGATGAAAAAACATGGTTTTGTTAACAATCCTCTGAGAGGGCTACTAAAGCAGCATTTTTGCCTGAAGTCAAACCATAGAAAGGAGTTAGACTTAGAGCTGCTGCTGAGGTGCTGGAGGAAAACTTTTATGATAGGAATAAATTAGGCTAAAGTGGTTAATGATGGCCTAATTACATGAAAAGTACTTATTCAACCAGTCAAAGATGAGAGCCAAGTAGAAATGTAAGGAAGAACAGCCCTTAGGACAGTCTGATACTTGCTTTGTACACATGGAAAAGCATTCCTCATGAGAGCTCGATTCTGACATCACACAAAAACTCACCCTCAAAATAAATGCCCCAGTGAAGTCATTGGCTCTTATCACTGACAGCCATCTTATCACTGGAGAGCCATTACTAAAACTAAAACTCCATGGAACAAATAAAACACGTAAGCAAGTATAGTTCTGATGAGAAATATCTACCTATAATGGATATATTTTTGGCATCTATACAGTATATTTATGGTTATTGATTCCCTTAAGAAATAACAGAATGCATTTAAGCAGTGTACAAACTATCAACTGTCACTGAATTGCGCTGCAAAGATGATCTATAACCTTGAAAAATGTGACTGCTTTTCTTCTATAGCAATATATTTTAAACTGCAAGGCAGCAAGCTAGCTTATGCTTTTCACAGTATGCAGATATCAGCTTTTCAAGTAGGAAATTCAAAATGAAATATTATTAACAATTTATTGTTATTTCCATGCAGATACTGAATGAATAATTCCTATCATATTTTTCCCTAGTTGCAGGAGGGAGTGTTTTTGCACCTGTTTCTCTTTTCCCAAATCTAATAATCAGTAAAATTGCACTCAGCCAGCTGTTGAATTTCGGTTCTGTTCGTATATTTCATCTGTTTAAAGACTGACAGAATATGAAGTCATATAGCTGCAATAAAATGCAACATTGATACGAAGAGAAGTTATTGCCAACCTTACAAAGATTCAGATAATCTTGGATTGTGCTGTAATGCCTAACTAGATTGAAGACAGTGATAGATATTCATATGCAAAGTAAAGTAACAGTTACTAAAATCAGTAAAAACTTTGGAAATAAAGTGCTTCCAGGGATTCTTTGAGAGCTTAAACCAGTTTCTAATTATAAGAAATTTATGTAAAACCGATTAACTCACGTCTTCTCCTGTGGAATTGTTCACAAAGGGTATGAAATGTTCACACTTTAAGAACACAAAGCTCGCTAATTCATTTAGTCATAAATCCTTGCATCTTTTTGGAACAGCTGTACTGAACCTATTGCCTGGTGTTTGAATGGAACATAATTTCTTTTTTAGTTACACATGTAGCTGAAGGCATCAACAAACAAAATAAAACATTGCAGGTAGCTTCAAACACACCACAACCATTCTATTGACATGCCTAATACAGTGATGATTATTCATTTGGGTTTTTATAGTCTAAGCATGAACATTTAACCCTAAGGGTTTATATACTACTTAGCAACACATATTTTCTAAAGATAGCGGATTTAAATTGCATACATATGCATACATATATACACATCTGTACGTACATATGCACACTTCACAGAGAAATGCCATACAGTTTTGTAAATATAGATAAATAGGTAATAGGTAGGTATGTTAGTTTTGAATATCTGGTATCACAGATAGCAGAGTTTTTCCACTCTCAATTTTCTCAATTTTCCAGTAAGAGAATGCTTAACACTTTGCAAAATTTAACTGTATTAATTAGATTGCTGTATGCCATATTTGTATGTTCAAATGGCTTAGGTATTTCCAAAAATATAACTACTGAAAAGAAAAACGGTTGTTTTAATCATAGATAAAAAATAGACTATGATTTTCTTCATTAAAAAAGCCTTCATAGCTGTTTGAGTTGGAGTAAAGACCTAAAATATGCAAAGGAAGCCTTATAAGGTGCTAGGAATAACATATTTACCAACACTCAGAACTGCACATTTTAAAAGTATCTGAAAAAATAGGTATGTCATTAACAGAGATATGTAAGCTTGGTAACTAACTTCTGTATAGATCGAGCTCAGCTAAGCATGCTCCAGCTAAGAGTTTTTGAGACCAAGCAAAACTTCTTCCCTGACTCTTTGTGGCAGTTGAACCTTTTTATAACGTCTGGCTTCCCAAGAGTAGATAAAGGAATGAGCTTTAATGCTGAAGCTAATGCTGAAGTACCAAGAGCAGCATGGCCATACCAGAAGTGAATTGAACAGGGATTGCAGTAACTGGGGAGAAAGAGAAACAAAAGTGGGCGAAGCTGGAGATGAAGAGAAGTCATGACAGTAGCTTGTTAGAAGAGTGGAGTAGAAAGAAAGAAAGATGAGAATGAGGGAGAATGTCATTTTGGTACCAGATCATAAGCTCAACCAGGGGGATACATGATTCCATAGGAGCCTGTTTCTCAATTAGGAAATTGTATTTAAAATATTCATGAAGATATATTGTTAAAGTCCCTGCAGCACTTTTACATTATTTAATGCTGTGGTCATAGATAGTTCTAGGTAACTCCAGAAATAGAGTTGCCACCCCCTCACAAAGAATGGATTGTTTGACATTTTTATCAGCTCCAGCCTTTGTTCCATGAAGATGACAGCCAGTTACCTACTTTGGCAAGGCTGGTAGAAGAGTAGGTAGTGAGTGCAGCTGACAGCACCTCACAAGTCTGTGACTGTGATGCTAAATCAGCACGACCACCACGTGCTCCTTCAATGAGGACGGAATGTGGAGGTAGAGTCGTGACAGTATGTTCCAAGGTGTCCCTGCAGCTCTTCCAGCTTTTTCTGTCAATGGTTATTAGTGTTTACAAAAGCATGGCCCTGAAATAGCTACATGGTGTTAATAATAGCAAAAATAGCTATTCTTCTGCTTAGGATCTTTCATACTGGGTCAAAATTGGGCTAAGTTGAGCAAGAACAGGAATCATAATAGCACAACCACAAATAGTTTAAGGGTGGCGTTCAAAACTCTCTCAGGTCACACACTGAGTTTAAACTAAGATCAGACCAGGACATATTTTTTTCCCATCTACAGAAAATCCGTCTGAGTTTTCACAGGGGAAAGTTTTGGCCTTCTGCCACCCATCCCAATGAATTGGTAGTTGCTCCTCTCTGGGCAGAGAAATAAAGTGTTGATCATATTTCACTGAGAAATCCAATTTTTTATTTTTCCAAATTGGCTATATATATGCAGCTATCAACTGTGATTATTGTCAGATAAGCCACAGACAATATGTGAAGTAACATACTGAATGTTCTACGACAAGACAAGGAAACAGACTACTACAACAGAATGTCCAGGCTCAAGCTTCACATGTCACAGGAGTCTGCCTTAATCACATCAGTGAGAGATAAAGGAAGCTCTATAGAAAGGAAAGGAAAATAAGTAACTTCACTATGTTACAGTGCAATGAAAAGTCATTTTAATGTTTGGTAATCTGAAATGCTTTATCACGTTTGTTGGCCAGATATTTTTCCTTTAGCAAACTGCTGGTTTTGTACTGTGACTATAAAAATCATACAAAATTAATAAGTTTTTTTTATTTTTCAGTAGTTACAACTTTCTTACAACTGTTGTTTGAGTGACAGTGACAGATGTGGGAAAATTTTCCTTTATATTTCCTTTAAAATTCATAGTTTCCTTAGACAAATATATGTATATGCATACTTTTGCTGATTTCTAATTTGCCAGTGGTAAAACAATATCCCATGTAAACTGCAAAAGCTGAGAAATCAAGTTTTGTTTTTGAATATCTGGCAAATAAATAAACCTTACAGCTACTAATTATTTTTAAACCTTGCACATGAAAACGTGATTACACTCACTGCCACAGACACTGATTGTTGAAGACAGGATGTTATTAAGTCACTTTGGAGAGCTTCTATAAGACCCACCGCATTTCAAGCAGAGCTTTTCTTAACGACATTATCTCATTTATGGAGCAATTACACAGGACTTGCTGTTTGAAAATGTCAAGAAAAACATTGAGCAAACAACTAAAGTGGAATTTACACTCCTCCGCTCTCTATCAAATCATGTCAACTTCATAGACTTAAAATATTCTATCAGGATTTCCTACACCAAAGCTATTTGCTGTGTATCAGTAAAAGATATGAGAGAGGTTAGTTGAACAACCTCTACATGGAATAAAGCAGGTAATGGATGTGAAGACTGCAGAGATTTGTCCATGCTGAGATAATTTTTTTTGTTCAAGAACAGCACATTAATTAATTCTGTGGATTTGAAAACCAGACAAAACTATTTCAAAATTTGGAAGTTAGGAAATTAGTATGGAGGATTTCTCTGTGAGCTAGGGAGAAATGTGCAAAATGCAATGGTTTCAAAAATCTCCATTGATTCTGGAAAAACCTGTGGTTGAATTCCCCATTCTTGTTCAAAAGTAAGATTTGATTTTTAGGAGTAGTTTACAATTCCATATGCAGATACAAAGTAGATGGCCAGATAGAGACCATTTTTAAATATCCATTCTTACCATGGACAGTTTTCCTGTCACTCAGTTGAGAATGAATATATAGAGTAGTACTACAGCACTGATATGTATTAAGTTGATACCCATCGATTATGAGATTTATAGTTCATCTGAGAACATCATGAAAGCTGTTAGAGATACATAATGCAAAGTAATACAGACAACTCACTGAAGAATTGATGATGCTGAAATAGTGGAGATTTCAGACATTTGTCCTCAGCTCTACTTTGAATTAAATTAATATTGCTGTAAGTTCATGTGACAACAGCACTTAAACTTCAAGCCATCTATTATTTCTCTGTATTCCCTTTGATTCTTCATGTATTTAATCCAAGTCTAGCACAGAAGTTAAAAGATATTTGGAATAGTCCTTCATTTCTCAATGAATAACTCAGTGGTACGGTGGTACAACTAGACTGATGTTCTGGAATTCACATAGTTCTTTTCCTCTGAGTACCCTAAGAGGTCTTGCTGCTGGTAGTTCTTAAGGTGAACCCATTCTCACGTGGACTTACAGAAGTAGCAGAGTTCTCTCTATTCATAACCATGGAGCTTCTCTGCTGCTCTCTGTTTCACAGCTATTTGTCCTGAAATGTATCCCTGTCTGTAAAGATGTGCTCATAGGGACATCCGAAAGGTCACCACTAATTGACTGCAAGGTAGGATTTTCTGCATGTACAGTGATCACTGACCATAGGGAAAATTAATGCAAAAATTCTGTTTCATAAATATGAATGTGCTTGAGTTAGGAAAACCTTACCTTTTATTTTGTTTATCCTTCAAGGCATTTAATGTGCATTTCTAATATTGCAAAGCAATAAAACAATACCATTTGGCATATTCTGTGTGGTCTAATACTGTTGTTCTTACTCAGATTTTACTCAGGAAAAACAATCTTTCACTTGAGTGACAATTTGCTTGACTGAGGACTGAACAGAGCATTTTGAATCTTACCAGCATTGCTTGATGTTAATGTTGGACAACAGATCTCATTGCTAATTTGCTTGTCTTGTTGGCCTTTTCTTGGGCTCAGGATCTGCTTTTGCTGTGTGTTATTTGTGGCTGTTAAGATTGCTTCCTTTTGTGCTTTTCACTTCCAGCAAATATTTTGCAGCTATTGTTTCTTCTGCCAGTAGATGTGCATGGAACCTGGTATGTGGAACTTGAACCTCAGCCCAGATTTAATTAAAACTATTAAACATATTCTCACTGTGGTGCTCAGAAGGAATTTTGGAGACCCCTTTCAATGAAGCATAAATTTGCTTAATCTGAGTTTTTGCAATTCAAAATCTTAAGAGCAAATACTCCTCGATAAAAGTAGGTGGAGTAGTACCCATTTACAGCCATGATAAAGTCAATCCTAAATGCCTATTCTGACCTACAATATACATTGTACCAGAAAATCAATCAATGTGTGCACCAGAACACTACCTTGTTTTGTAGACTTAACACTGTTTTAAAGTAAGATATTGCCAAATTTCTCCATAGCCTATTGATATGCAGCAAATCTAGCTAGGTTATCACTCGTATGTCTTATGAGCCATACCTAGCCATGGTTTATCCTCTATTCATGCTGCAGGGTACGAAATTCCTGGGTGCCAACCTGCCTATGGCAACCTAGAATTCTCCAGGGCAGGCTCGCAAAATCTTCACCTACTCTCTGGGACAGGTAATGAACAAGTGATATTTTGTGAAGTTATGCTTTCTTTCTAACCTGTTGATGTCCGTAAAAATGTTGCATTTCTTCATGTCAGTCTCCAGTCTCTCATTGTTCAGTTGTGCTGTATTTTCTGAACTAGGGGAATGACAGCTGTTTATTATAGTACACTAGATGCTTGCCTCAGCCAAGCCTGTTATAATGACTATTAGCATATATAAAAACTGAAGGTTTAAGATCCACAGTTAATAGTTTTTCTGATGGAGTTCCTATAATAAAGGCACATTGTATTCTCATGTGATGCCATAATAATCTGGCCATAATAATTTAATTCCAATTCCAATTTTAATTACCAGTGTTTAAATATTATCTTCCCTTTGTTAGGTTTACGTCAATCTTCAGTCTCCTGAACTATTTTTTTTTTCAGTGTTATAGAGGATGTGACAAGATGAAGGAGTTATGATTGGTTCTAGTTTATATTCCTATGCAGCAAATAAGTTTAAATAATGACTCATTTAGACATATTTTGCTTAGATTTTCTTCTACTTCTCTCATGAATTCACACTTTGCTCTTTGCTTCTTGACATTATTACAAGTAGCAGGTATGTAGTAGAAATGTTATTCACTAATCCTCTGGTTTTCAATGAAATCTGAAATATTCAAAATTGAAATCAGAAATTAATTAGATAAAAAATAAAGACAGTGAATTTTATATTCCCTTCTTGCATTCTAATGAATGTATTTGAGTAATGGTCATGACTTTTCATGCTAAGAGTGCTGCTAGCATAGGAGAGATAAATAGGATTCGATCAGTATTTTTTGGCACAAGGTACACTCTGTGAAGTGAAAACCAATAATCCTGGAAAAGTGCTTTAAATTCCTATTTTTCATCCCCTTGGGGCTCTGCATGTATGCTCTGTTCTTACCTGGGTTTTAGTCTGTTGTAAAAGTAGCTTTGTTCTGATACATGTTCTTGTTAAAACCAGGAGATGAAGAGTGAAGCCTATCTGTAATTCTTCCTTTCAGATGCGTGTAAGTTTTATATTATAGAGGACAATATAAAAGTTTTTCTCCAAGCATTCCAAAGTTTTAAGTGCGCAAACCCAAGATCATATCTCAGGCTATTTAGACATTTCATACGATACATAGATGCTGAAAGACCATTTTCATTTATTCCTCCACTTTTTAAAAAGCAATAAAGGATCTAATTTTAATAATTTCCTGAATCTCTGCTTGTTTCTTTCATGTTTATTAATCCAAATTTTAATCACACTGTTTTAACAAACCTAGACTTAAAAAAATTATCTGGAATCTTGTTATCCAATTGTATTGAAAACATCAGCTTGTTGGAGAAACAAAAACACTGTGTTTCTTTTTTTTTTTATCGTGAAAATGAAAAGTAATGAATATGACAACTTCAGCACTTACAGAATTAGGATAGATTCTATTTTATCTGCCCTGATGCACCTTAATCTTCAAAAAATAATTACGAAGCAATAAAAATTTCAAATAGAATACTGAAGTTGTTCAGGTATAAGGCAAAATATTGCAGCTGTGTTTAGATAATCTGCACCTCTGAATACAGAGCAAACATAGCATCTCTTTGAGGGCCTTTCCCAGGAAGGCACTTCTTCATCAGTATGTGTTTTTTTCGGGGGTGCTATATCTGAGGGTAGGTTGAAGGTCTTGGGTTACCCCTGAACAAGCGCACTGTGTATTTCTTTTCACGTGTATAATGCAAACATTTATGCAGATGAATGTCTGCTGCCTCATTTGAGGTTTTGGCACTTGTAGAGAGCTTCACTTACTGCCTCAGTCAAAAAAACACAGGAGAGCTTATGCCAAAAACAGAGAGATAGGAGTGCTCATTGAATCATTAAGGCTAGAAAAGACCACTAAGATCATCTACTTCAATCATCAACCATGCCCACTAACCATGTCCTTCAGTGCCACATGTTCCTGTTAAAAGGAGTGAAGCCCTATTCCCTCCCCTTTGCCATATACTCACAAAAAAAGACCACAAAGCAGAGTCTTACACTGACAAACCAGTTCAGCTGAGGAAGCAGGATAAAATCGACTTGACTGAACTAATAAATCCTGAGATTATGTTGGAAAGATGTTTGTATAAAGCGACGGCTCAACATGCTGAGCAGTGATGAACTTCATAGAGGTGAACTGATTTATACTCTTGTGGAATAGAATACTTCACAGTTAACAACTCCTAAAATAGTGGGCTGCAATGTATAAAAGAAGGTAGGGCTCAAAATAATCAGCCAAAGATGACAGATGGCATTTTTTTTCTCCTTTCTTTCTTCTCTTCTTTTTTCGCTGTACTATCAGGTTGATCAAAGCTCTGAGGATCATTTATTATTGTAGGAAAACTAAAAATATCTTGAAACATTCACACAAAATAGATAACAGACAACAACCAGCAGTTCTCTTTTCTTAAAACCTTGTGCATGAGTCTATATAAAGTAACAGTTGCCCTCAGAATACAAATTAAATGCGCACTGCTGAGAATTTGGGTCTGACCAGGTGAAGGTGCATTATTTAATCACCTCTGCAGTTTGTTTTTGTTAGTCAAACAATTATCTATTCTACTGTCAGAGAAAAGCCTTCTCACAAATCCCTACAGCTCACCTCTGTGCTTTGTCACTGCACTATTGTCATACAGCCGCGTGTGATGTGGGAAGTAAATGATAAGGAATGGAGACTGCAGCAAAACTGCACCAATGGCTGAAAGTGTCATGCACTATATCTCACTCTAAGCACTAGCAGCTCTATCTCCTATACTCTTTGGTAACAATAACATCAACATTTTTTAAAGGTGGACACTTATGGATTTCAGTTAGAGATACAACGTGAGCTCAACATGTGAATTCTATCACAAAACAGGATCATAATGCAACTGTGACCAAATATAATAAAAAGACATATCAGAAATTTACTCAGAGCAGACAATATATAGTGCTTATGAAAAAAAAAAAAAAAAAAAAAAAAAAAAAACCACCATAAAATACAGTAGCACATGTAGTTATTCCTCCCCCCAGACTCAGTAGTAATTGTGTCTCACTTCTCCTGGAGTCAAAAGAGCTTATTTTTTTCCAACTATTTAGCATAACTTCTCACATGGTAAGTGCTAAGCAGCCTACCAAAATGAGTCCCTTGAGACAGACACAGATGAATTTCAAATCAGAAGAAAGAGAAAACTGTGAATGGAAGGAACGTGCCAAGGTGAGTGCAGAGATTATAACCTCTGCACACCAACTTATGTCTGGGTGCTTAATGCAAAATGAAGCAAGTTGACATTCTTTCCCTACTACTAAAAACATTTATACAGTACTCACCTGCTCCCATTCCAACCTCAATTCTTTGGAAGAAAGAATGATATAAATTTCAATTTGCTTCTGGTCAGTAGGTTTCATTCATTCTTATTACCCATCCAAACATGAACATACAACACAATTCAAGAGGAACAACATTCCTGTTCCAGCACAGTGTGATCCAGACGAATCAGAAAGGTAAACAGATAAAAACAAAAATGAGAAAGCTTTAATAACATAATTAAAATATAACTTTATAAGCTTGTGAGATTATGTAGCATGCTGCTTTCAGTAATTTCCAGAGGGAGTGCTTATCCTTGACCATAAACCAAAGCAATCTAGAAAATGGCCACTCAGAGCTGTAAGGAAAGCTGCTGCAAGCAGATGCAGCTTACTTAGTCACCTGGAGAGCTTTCTTTGAAGTTTGCCTTTAATTGTGCTGCCTCCATTTCTCAATATCTTCCTTTTTTTTTCCTCTCCTTTCTCATCACTGCTTAGTACTCTGGATTCCCTAGTGAGATGCAGTGCAGCCTGCAAGGACCAAATGTTAAAAGGCAGGAAATGGTTCAGCAGCTTCAAGATGCCTTCTATGTGAGGAAGCCCCCCATATATCTTTTGTTACAACAAAAACTATTTGTTGCAGTCATCTCTTCCTCTCTTCCTCCTGCTTTTTTTATTCTTTTGTATCTTGCAAAGCTGCATAACTCATCATTTCTTCTATCTGAACATTTTATGCAAACCAACTGGCCTCTGGAAAAAAATAAAAATAAAAAAATAGAAGCACTTACCAAAATTAACCTTCTTCCATAGTCATGTCAAGAGCAGTGTCCAGTCAGCAAGAAGTGTGAAGATCCCTTCAGCTGTGGGAATAGTCAGAGTGGCAACGTCTCTGATATCTTAGGTGAACGTGGAATGAAATTTGCCATGCCAGAATGCAACTTTTGTCCCGTGTTCACGTGATGGATTCATTTCAGATGAATTATGATCTAACACAAGGCAATGTTTGGACAACGTGTATACTCTGGAGTAAGGAATGAATATCTGTAGAATCCTCCATTCACAAGAGAAAACAAACATATTCTTTCTACTAGCAGATAATGATCCAGAAAATGAATCAAATGTATCAAAATGTATGAGCTTTTTTTTCTCTTGCAAAATCTCTTTTTCCTCACTAGTTCATCCTTTCATTTTCTAGCAACGAGGATCACTTACCCAACCCAACAGTTTGCACATAAAAGTCACTGACTCTAAGAATCCAAAGTTGAAATCAGTGAGATCTCACAGGCTTTAGAAAGAACCTAACAGATGAACTGTAAGGCAGCCTGGAAGAAGACAAAGATCATAACTATTTCTATTACATCAATCGTGTTTCTGTGCGTCAGTCACCTTTGAATTTGGGCACACATTTCCCTCTTTTCATTGCACCACATTCATTTTTTATAATCAGCCAGTCTGACCACATTCTGGTCTTTACAATTGCAATGGTCTCATAGGCCAAATTGGCCATCTCGTTAATAGGAAATGGAATATATTCTGAAAATTCCAGATCCAAATCAAGTTAACAGATATTTTAAATCAGTCCTCTAGGAGGCAGTCAGCTATTCAATCTCCTTGCATTGGAGAACAATGCTGGGCAATCCCAATCTTAAATTCACATTCTTTCCTCATCATTCCCCAGTGCCGTTCACA